TGCAGAGCACAAATCTTTAAAAAAATGACTAATTTCAATAAGAGGATTTAAAACATGTATTGTTAATACACTTCAATAGGAAGTAAACACTCCATGAATACATGACAATCATGACTTTTCATGCCATGAATCCTCCCTTTTTGAACATTAGCACATCTTGTTAAGTTGGAAGAATAACCATCAGGCATCTTAAGTTCTTTTATCCAATGACAAACTACTTTTTCCTGCTCAGTACTATATGTGTAGTTTGCTTTAGGCTTTTATATTTTCCCATTAGCTTGTGCCTTCAACTCCAAGTCTCTACGCCTATAATATAAAGCTATATATTTTCTTGCTTTGTCATTGTCTTTTGTCTTACCACTTTCATTCATCATAGTGTTGAAAATATTATCAGAGAAATTTTTCTCTATGTGCATAACATCAAGATTGTGTCTCAACAAATTATCTTTCCAATATGGGAGATCCCAAAATATGCTTCTTTTTGTCCAATTGTGCCACTCTCCATATCCTTCTATCCTTGTCACACCACATTCAGTTACTTTTGGCAAATCTTTTACTCTTGACCATACTTCTGTAGGTGTTAGCCTAGGAGGTGACCCTTCTACTTCAACTTGCCCCTTCCGAAAAACTTTAATGTTCCTTCTAAAAGGATGATAATTAGGTAAGAACCTTCGATGCGAGTCAAACCAACAACTTTTACGACCATAATTTAATGTAAATGATTTTCTATGCTCCATACAATGTGGACAAGCCAATCTACCATGAGTCCCCCAACTAGATAACATCCCATATGTTGGAAAGTCATTAATAGTCCACATCAAAGCTACCCTCATCATAAAGTTTTGTTTCCTTGAAATATCATATGTGAGAATACCACTCCATAATTTTTTCAAATCATCGATTAAAGGCTCCAAGTAAATGTTAATAGAGGCTTTCAGATTAGATGGACCCGGAATTAGGCAAGTTAAAAACATATATGGCTTTGACATGCACATATAAGGAGGAAGACTATATGGGCTGACAATCACGGGCCAACAAGAATAAGGTGAAGATGAAGCTTGGATATATGGGTTAAATCCATCAAAACATAATCCAAGTCTGACATTGCGCGGATCAGCAGTGAAAGAAGGATGTTTCCTATCGAAGTACTTCCATACTTCATCGTCTGATGGATGACGTAGCACATCAGAACTTCTTTTATCATGGTGCCAAGTCATTTGCCCAGCAGTTTGCATTGATGCAAATATTCTTTGTAATCTTGGAATTATAGGCAAGTAAAACATGAATTTTATTGGGACTGGATTTTTGTGACTTGTTCTAGTGCTATTGTTGTGATATCTTGTTATGTGACAAAATTTACATTCAAGCAATGCCGCATCCTTTTTTCCATAATCATTGTCATAGAAAAGCATACACCCATTGACATAACAGTCAATCCTCTTAGCCTCTAATCCCAATTTTGATACTAATCTCTTAGCATCATAATAACTTGTGGGCAAACCATCTTTTATAGGTGTCACATCTAAGAACATTCGTGTCGTAAAGTCTAAGCACTGGTCAGGAATGTTCCAATTTGACTTGCAAGCTAAAAGTCTAACACATATTGACAATTTTGAGTCTTCCGCCCCTTCAAATAAGGGTTTATTTGTTTTAGCCAACAAATTATAAAACCTTTGACTTGTTTCATTTGGTGGCTCTTCTATATTAACCAACTCGGGTCCTTCAAATGAATGATGTTGCAAGAGAGAATTGTACATCATCTCTTGCATTGACATAAATTGGTCTTGTTGAGGAATGTGTGCACCACTACTTGAACCGTGTACACAATTGTGATCAAAATTCTCTTCAACATGAGGTATTTGTTCACCATGATCGACCCAAATCTAGTAATTTCTTTTGAACCCTTGCTTGTAAATGTGAACTTTGACGATTTAATCCTTCAAAATCTTTGTACAATCGCATTTAACACATGGATATCTAATCCCTCCATCATGTTCATAATGTTCATATTGTCGTACTGTTCTTATAAACTCTTCAACCCCTATAACAAAAGACTCTTTCAAACCTCTTCTACCACTATAACATCTATCATACATCCAACTACGATTGAAAGAAATACCATCCATGTTCTATAATATTGAAGAGAATAAGATTAATTGAAGGAATTGTTTGAAAGAAATTGACCATTGGATTTTGATTAAACTATGCTTCAAATAGAGTAAAAAGACTCAACTAAAACTTTTATGTTTTGCAACAGTTGATACAAATGAAATCTCCTATAGACTTAAGACAAATAGTGAAATTGCACTTCACATAATTTGAAACAAAATCCAATCTAAACATTGGATTCAACATAATAATACTAAGCTACTTTTATGTTGTCAAATCCAACTTAACATTGGACTTTCAAGCAATTAGGCTTCAATAAAAAAAGAATCAGTGTACTAAAACATATTTACATTTAAAGATGAATTGAAATTATAGTTATAATTAGTAAGCTTGTAATGTGCACATATTGATACAATAAAACTACTAAGTTAAAACTATTGGTAAAATTGTTCAAGAGAATTGTTGTAGAAAATTATCCGTTAATTACTCCAGTGCAACATGAAAACTAAAAAAAATGTGGAATACCAAATAGGAAGAGTATTGCAAAATGAAATAAGGTGAAAAAGTGATCAATCTGGACCTCAAATATTTAGATCAAATTAATTACAACAAATCTAAAGTTTATTTATTAAAAAAGAAAAACGCATTTATGACTTGATGGGTAACATGATATCAGACTATTCTATAGCCAAATGGATTATAATTGCTTTTGATTTAATATATTATGTATTTCAATTTTTAGAAAAGCTCTGATCTAAAAGTTTGCTTCACCAAAACTGCAGAATTTAGATTTGTTTTCACTAATATTTTGTATGATATTCACGGAAAATGAATTGAGTTTGAGTTCAGGATATTCTTGCTGATTATTGGTATGTTGTTTGTACTAGGTTGAAAGCTGAATTTCCTATCTTTGATAAGGTGATTCCTGATCATTGATTTAACGTCAAGCAATTAAAAATATCCACGTATGTTAAGGCAAACACAAGAATCCTAGTTGCTCCAGACAACCTTTTACTGGGCTGTCATGTCAAGGAACTTTTTTCTTTAGAAAAATATTGCTATAAGAAAGAGAGAAAAAGCACCCTGTGATGGTCCTCTTCCCTATCATCTTCATATGCATGCCACAACTCAAAGTGACAATGTAAATAACCAAAGTGCTCTTCCAAAATTCTCATCTTTGAGTCTCCAATTTCGAATAGTGACACTCCACACCCTTCATCACTCTCTATTCGCTAGAAAACATTTTTGCAGCTTCCAGCGTCAGATTCTTGATCTCTTTACATGTAACACCTATATGTCTCCATTTTGGTTTCTTCTGACCATTTTCATTTGGGTATCAGATTTAGTTAACTCATCAATCACGTTTATAACTCACTCCTCATTGTGGATTCTTTTAATTCTACTCAATGGGTTCCATTCATATGTAAATTTCAATTTGAATTTAAAACACATTTATAGTTATAAAGATAGACAATTTCTTTTTAATCATTTCACATCACACACACTACCTAAGAAAAGTCAGGCTCCACCAAAATATCAACCTACACTTTTCTTTATTTTTAATGGGTATAATTTTTTTAAATATTTACACATAAAAGCAAAAACGTTACTCTTTATCCTTAGTTTTTTGCCTAATTGGGTTTTTTCAACCCTAAATTAATTCATTTGGACATACTATATCCAACTTCAATTACTATTCTATTACTAATGTATATTGAAGCTTCATACACACACACACACACGAAGGATGACATTTCAACATTAAATGTTTGTAAGAGTGATTAATTAATGTGTAAAGTCCCCCAAATAAAACTTATACTTTTTAAATTCAGAGAACTAACATTTAAAACTATACTACTGTTATTAAGTATAAATTATATACAATTGCTGTAAAAGAGAAGAAAAAAATTCTTTGGAATGGAGAGAGAGAGGAAACAATATAATCAGTAGTACTACATAACTATTGAGCGAAATAGATATGAATCTGTGTAGGGAAAAAGAAAAGTGTCATATGATTGGACCATAAGTAAACTCTTTAACTTATGAAGTATAACATTACCACGACATCCCAGAATAGAATAAGTTGTGAATGATCCCTAGTCTGGTGTGGCACTTATGCTAGAGGACTATATATGTGAAAAGATACATCAAACGTAACCCAAAAATTTCGCTGAGCAAAACAACCTAGCTATAGGCAGAGATGTCTACGTTAATTTTGAACACAATACATCATATCCTAATTTGCACTGCATTTGTAGCTTACTCCATGTGGAAAACTCCAACATCCGGCCCCTCTCATCGTATTCCTATATTGGACTATAGAAAAGGTTGTATGGTTGTTATATATTAGACTTTTTCTGGTGAAGTAATCCCTACAGCTAGTACACAGTCTGATGATAAGTGTTTTATAAAATGTTTTCACAAGACTTGTGTGCAAGTTTAGATGTGTTAGTAAAAGTGATAGATAAACACTTGTTTTTATAATTGTTTACTTCAACTGAGCTATGTTCAGTTTCTTTCAAGGAACGTTCCCTTGTAATCACAACTTGATTATGCGAATAGGGCCAAAGAGTTTAAATGACCAAGCTTAAAATTGACTATGCAGTTTGTGGCTATCAAAATTCCTATAATAGATGAAGCTCATTATAATAGTAATATCTAAAGTGCACTTATAGGACAAATATTCAAAGGCATTATTTAGCCGACAAACCCATATGGTGTCTGACAATTCTAAAAGATTCTTACCCCAAATACATCAAAAACAGATTTTGAGAAGAAGTACATGCATAAGAAGAAGAAATAAAATTAAGACAGACACAATAGAGATCCTAAAATTGATGAGATGTGCAATATATTTTTTAAGCATAAGTTAAATATGGTATTACCTATGCTCAAGTCAAATCCACGGTTTTTAGTTCTCTATACTCTTGACATACGACACAGGTTTTACAACAAAATGAACTAAGCAATGTGAGCTCACTCAGAGCTAGTAGCGTCCCATAAATAGCCCCATTACAAGTGCAAGCTGTATATATGAAAGAAAAAGAAAAATAGCAAAAGATGTAACCTTTATCAGTCACACTGAATATATATATATATATATATATATAACTCGTGCATGTAGTTTTAATAAAAACTTACTTTGTTTGCCTTCATGTACTATTTCTGCTATCAATCCAAATGTAACACAAGGGCAGAAGGAAGTGACCAAACCTAAGAGAATAAACATCCATAGTATGTCAAATTCCTTGATACTTATACTAAAGAAAAAAAATAAGGAATCCACATGATTCATGAACTCTTAGTCTTACAGTTTCCATGATCATCAAGACAACGACAAAGACCAGTTGCCATCATTGTGTCTTGATTCTAACCAAAGACAAACTACCCAAGACAGTAGCTACTAGCTCATTTCCATTGTCAGTACCAACAATTTTTGGACAAAATTCTGAATAAATATTTATGTGAAAAAATAAGTCAAATAAATTAAGTTTGTCCAATTAAAGAAAATCAGATTCTGCAGCATAAATCTAAAATCAAATTATACACTTCAACTTTAATAAAAGGTCTTTCATCTAATTTCTCCAAAAACCAATTTCAGCTTCTAATTTTCTTCACCTTCACCGACAAGTTCATACAAAAAGACAAACCTAAATCTATTTCCACAGCCCCTCCTTAGATGACAGGGTCAATGAATAAAAAAACTGAATGCAGTACCGTACAAATAATTTTAAACCCACAACTCCTACATCTCCAAAACGGTTGAAGATCCAAATTTTCAACTAAGAACCGATTCTGAGACAGTGAAACGTCGCACCCGAACTAAAAGCCGAAAGACTAAAACTATAAGAAATTAATAAAATCTAGAAGAAGTAATTGCAGCAAACTTGAGCAATTACTTCAGAGAATAACTGAAATCAGAGGATACACAAAGTTTCAGACACTTGAAGGGGAGAAATAGTAAGTCAAACACAAAACCAAGCATGAAATTGAAGGTGGAAAGAAATCCTAACCTCCGCGACAAAGAGACGAGCAAAGGGAAATCGTGCGACACTAGGTGGGGATTTTTACCTGGTTATGTCTGTATCTACCTATGCAAGGCCACGACTGCTAAAGTGGTTGCCACCAGGGAGCTTGGAGAAATAAAAATTCCAGCAGAGAGAGTGACTCTATTTTCAGGTTTTGGAGAAGCATAGACGCTGAGGCACCTTTTGTTACTTTACTCATCTCAAGGGTGTTAATTTACCGATGAATATATCCATCGATAATTAATTATTCATTTACTTACGAATATATCCATCGATAAGACCAAATTTCACATAAACTTTAAATCCATCAGTAATTTCCCTCGAAAATCATTCAGTTACCGACGAATACATATATGTCGGTAACTAATTATGAATTTACCGATGGATATATCCGTCGGTAATTAAATGTTCCTTTACCGACGAAGATATTCGTTGGTAAGATCAAATTCCACAGACACTTTACATCCGTCGGTAATATCCGTCGGTAATCACTCATTTTCTGATGACTAAATATCCATCGGTAATTAATGATTTTCTTATAGTGAGAGGCAGTCGGAGCGACGCGATGGTTTTGATTAACTCGTGTTTTTAAAAGAAGATGTTCAACGCCTTTAGGTTGTCCGATAACCGGGCTGGACCTAAAGGCGAGGTTTTCAAAAAGGTTCGATGGAGTCGCCACCGATGTTTTTACCATTAACATCGAAAAAGGAAGAAAAAGGCGTTGGTTTTTAGAAAACCAACTTTGGCCATTACAACCAGAGTTGGGTAAGAGAGTTAGTTACGTGTGGGAAAGGTGTTAGCACCCCATAACACCCCTTTCGAGTTCCCTATGATGGACTAGTTTACAAAAAAAGACTAAGAAACTATACTTTTCCCCTATTTATTTAACAACCCCTATTTATTTAACTACTTGTAGAATTTAAATATCTATATGGCCTTAATATCTAATGCATACAAGGAAAGCGGTAAAGAAAGTGATAAAAGAGAGAGAATAAGAAAAGGAACCTCTGAAGTAAGCTTTTATATTAACTCTTCAAAACTTGAATAAGATTTTTGGCTATCCCCGCACTCTACAAACACACTCCTCTCCCACAATAATAGAAAAGAAATACTACTGAGGGCCAGATGTCTCAAAAGAAGACTTCCTTAACCGATTTCTACCTTAACGGAATCGGAAAGCTCACTCAAACTCTGGAATAATGCTCAAAGTTACTCTCAAGTGTCAAAATACTTCCAAGAGAGTAGTAGGAGTGAATTCTGTGTGAAATGAGGGGGACGAGGTCTTATTTATGGGAAATCGCGCCAGATAGGCCGGGACGACCGTCTCGCCACTTGTCAGGCGAGACGACTGTCTCGCCTTATGAGGTGAGACGATCGTTTGGACCCTTGTGGCGAGACGCCCGTCTCGCCTTATTGAGGCGAGACAACCGTCTGGCCAAACAGGACGATTGTCTTGGACTCTTGGCGAGAGTTCTCTTATTTTCGTGTACATAAGGCCTTCTTATCCTAACATGGAGCCTGGTAAACATTCCTAGGGACCTAAAAAGGCCTTATCCATCTTAGAACAAAGGTCTTCTGGCTTTATTGAGAGGCCAGGCAAGATTTGGGGTCTACAGCTGCCCCCTTTTACCTGACCAATTGACTATGGGTCGGTGTGCCATAAGGTCGATTGGCAGGTGAAGGAGTTAACCCTCTTGCCTGGTTGTCCTTCGGATGCTCCTCTTGACGTGGTAATTGACCCTTGGGACCAAGAATATAGTTTGGTGCTGTCTTCGGGATGCTTCCTTGCTGTGGAGGTTGATGCTTTAGAGGATATGTTGTGAAGCTTTAGGATGCTCCTTTGATACGGTAGCTGACCCTTTAGCTGTGATGAATAGGGAACCTTGGGATGCTCCTTTGATGTGGTAGTTGACCCCTTGGATGGTTGCGATGCCTCAGGATGCTCCTTTGACGCGGTAGCTAACCCTTTGGCTGTGAATGGTGTGTTATGTCTTCCGGGTACCCCTTTGCAATGGGGCTGATCCTTCAGACGATGTAAATCCTGCCTTCAAGATATTCCTTTGCAACAGAGCTGATCCTTCGGGCAATGACGATGGAGTGTGTCTTTCGGATACTCCTTTGCAACGGAGCTGATCCTTCGAACGATGCTCATCTTGCCTTCGAGATACTCCTTTGCAGCGGAGCTGATCCTTCGGGTGATGACGGTTGATTGTGTCTTTCGGATACTCCTTTGTAACAGAGTTGATCCTTCAGACGATGCATGAAAGTCTATCTTCTGGATGCCCCTTTTGCTGTGGTAGCTAATCCTTTTGATAGAGAAGGGGATGGCGGCTTAATGCTCTAGCTCATGCGCTGGCGTATACGAATCTATGTCTTTTGGATGCCCCTTTTGCTGTGGTAGGTGATCCTTTTGGCAGAGAAGGTGGTGGCAGCTTACTGCTCTTGCTCATGCGCCAACTCCATGGGGAGAAATTATTTTTGACTCTTCTTGTGTAGTCATCTGGTATGCCGGAGATTTTTGATAAATACCTCTGAAGTAGGCAGAAATCCACTGGGGGATTTGTTGATTTGGACGATGCCTCTGAGTAGGCAGATGCTTCATCGAAAGTGAAGGCTTTCGACTTGTATTGCTTTGCCTCTAAGTAGGCTGATATTCCCTTTGGGGACGTTGGCTCTTTGCTTGCTAGGTTTTTGCTATGCATAGGCGGATGACTTACTGAGGATAAGTCTTTCAACATTGCCTTTGCAGTAGACTCACTAGGGATGAATTTCTCTTTTTGGTGATCCGTTGGGGAATTTGTGCTTCCTTAGGGATCTAATTTCAGTAGTCCTTTGGGGAGGGAACGAAGTCTTGCCTCCTGGATTACGTTGGTGATGGGCTTTTCCGAAGCCTTTATTTTCCCTTGGGGGTGGACAAAGAATGGATTGAGTACGCTTGATGACTCATTTTGGCGACAATGCTGAGTCATGCGAAGATGTTTTTTGTTTGCCTCTGAAGTAGACAATGATCCGCTTGGGCATTGAGCCTTTCTGTCAGCTTTTGTTTTGGTTTGTAAAGAATGCCTTCCCTTGGCAGAAGGGTGGTAGTCGGAGCTTATGATTCTGGACACTCTTTTTTGTGGAGTTACTGGCTTGCTCTGCTTTCTTGAGGGAGAGCATTATTTGGAGACCTGGTTTGGGTGCTTCCTGTTTTTCAATCACAAACATGGAGCTAGTCTCCTTATGCATAATTAAACAAGTTTTCATGATTTTGATAAAGTCTTTTTGTGCGACTATTTGTGTGTGAATGTTTTAAATGCAGTCCATTAGATGCATCTAGAGAAGTGACTGCCCTTTCCCATTTTGGTTGCTGGATGCTAATGGGTTCTCCTTTTCATTTGTGTATTTTTTGTTTTAGCCCTTTTTTTCGCCTAGACCGCCCCTTTGAGGTTTTCTATCTAGCAGACTGCCTTTATTTTTGCCTAGGATATCTTAGCAGACTTTTTCTTTTTTTACGCATGCCTTAACTTTTGCCTAAACCGCCTTTTTGGAGTTTTCGATCTAGCAGGCCACCCTAATTTTTGCCTAAGAATTTCCTAGCAGGCGTTGTTACTTTTCATTTCTTTTCTTATGCTTTCTTGTGCTTGTTCTGTATGCATGTTTATAATTCATTAACACAGAGACACTTTCATAATTTGGTCAAGAGAAAAGAAATGAAAGATAATTTTATTGATATAAACAAATGGTTTATTTTTTACAGAAAGATTTACAAAGGAATTTAGAAGCATTGCTGGCCAAGGTTGACTACACTGTATAACAATGATGCCTCTGATATCTGCCCCCTGGTTCTCCTAGTTGCTTTAGTCGAGATGCTCAAGCCCGGAGTGAAAACTATGCAAAGCTTGCCTGTTTCTGGAAGGACGTTACCTTAGCCGCCTTGCAATTTTTGGCTAAGGTAGCCATTGCTCTATTTATTTTTGTTTTTTTAAACCTCTAAGTTTTGCCTAGGACGTATCCTAGCGAGGGGTGTGGACCCTAACTTTTGCCCAGGAAGCCCGTTGCGGGTTTTCATCTTGGCGGGTCATGAGCAATGCCTTCAAGTGTAATACTTCTTCATCACATATGAGTTGACTGGGTGTCGAAGTTCTTCTCCGTCCATGTTGGTGAGGATAAGGGCTCCTCCTGAGAAGGCTCGCATGACCACAAAGGGCCCTTCATAATTTGCCGCCCATTTTTCGATTTTATCCTTCTGTGTTGGAAGCAATTTCTTTATCACTAAATCCCCCTCATGATAAGTGTGGGGTTGACCTTTTTGTTGTAAGCCCTTTTGATTTTCTTTTGGTAGGCCTGTCCATGACATATGGCGTCTAATCATTTTTCTTCAATTAGGTTCAACTGATCGTACCGATTTTGGACCCATTCTATTTCTGTCAACTTTGCTTCCATAATAACTCGCAGGGAGGGTATTTCAACTTCCATTGGCAGTACGACCTTCATGTCGTATATGACGGAAAATGGAGTGGCTCTTGTGGAGGTCCATACAAAAGTCTGATATCCGTGCAGAGCAAAGGGTAACATTTCGTGCCAATCTTTATATGTTATCACCATCTTTTGGATGATTTTCTTGATGTTCTTATTGGCTGCCTCTACTGCACCGTTCATTTTGGGTCGGTATGGAGAGGAATTGTGATGTTGAATTTTGAAATCTTGGCATAACTCTTCCATCATCTTATTGTTCAGATTGGTCCCATTATCAGTAATGAGACGATGATGGATGCCATACCGACACAAAATATTTTTCTTGACAAAGGTGGTCACTATTTTCTTGGTCACATGTGCGTAGGATGCCGCTTCTACCCATTTAGTAAAGTAGTCAATGGCCACTAAAATGAAACGATGACCATTGGACACTTTGGGCTCGATGAGTCCAATAACATCCATGCCCCACATGGAGAATAGCCATGGTGTAGCCAAGACGTAGAGAAGTGCTGGTGGGACATGAACATTGTCGGCGTAAACCTGTCATTTGTGACACCGTTTGACATATTGATGACAATCACCTTCCATCGTAGACCACAAGTATCCTACTCTTAGGATTTTCTTTGCCATGACATGCCCTGATGTATGGGTTCCGAAGGCTCCTTCATGAATTTCCT